AAAAAAAAAAAAAAAAAAAAAAAAAAAAAAAAAAAAAAAAAAAAAAAAAAAAAAAAAAAAAAAAAAAAAAAAAAAAAAAAAAAAAACCTAGTAGTGAAATCATATTGTTCGATTAGTCCCTTCTAATCAAGAAAAATAATACTCAATTCACTATTCTATTTCCCCTAAGACTACAACTACTAGAGGTAACTAGAATAATCTTGAAAATAAAAGTAGCATCCCCTCCAAGGCAATGGAAATGGCCAGAACCCCACTGGCGAATTCTGGAAGGGAAGATCCGATCAAAATCCTCGCCCGACCCGTGTGGGCGAAGACCATCGAAGCCCATGGATGCCCATGGAAGCTATGACTTGCTAGAAGTTTCGCTGGAGCAGAAACTCACCGCCCACCACTATATCAACTGTAGTGCTCGCACAATCTCTGCCATCTCTCTCTCACACATTAAATTTTTTTTCTCCTTAACCTATCTGGTCTCATCCTCTATAGACAGGAGACTACTACTCTGTACATTACTTTAACAGTTTGATTCCCCCTCTGTTACGAATTCCTTTCCTCTTATCTCCTTTTTAACGAATTACCCCTCCAAATCTTTTCACAATGGCCCCCGCTGTCGGTATTGATTTGGGTACCACCTACTCCTGTGTGGGTGTGTTCCGTGATGACCGCATTGAAATCATTGCCAACGACCAGGGTAACCGTACCACCCCCTCCTTCGTGGCTTTCACCGACACCGAGCGTCTCATCGGTGATGCCGCCAAGAACCAGGTCGCAATGAACCCTCACAACACTGTCTTCGATGCCAAGCGTTTGATCGGTCGTCGTTATGCCGATGCTGAGGTCCAGTCTGATATGAAGCACTGGCCCTTCAAGATCGTCGATAAGGGTGGCAAGCCCATCATCCAGGTTGAGTTCAAGGGTGAGGAGAAGCAATTCACTCCCGAGGAAGTCTCCTCCATGGTCCTGACCAAGATGCGCGAGACCGCTGAGGCCTACCTTGGTGGTACTGTTAACAACGCCGTTATCACTGTCCCCGCCTACTTCAACGACTCTCAGCGTCAGGCTACCAAGGATGCTGGTCTCATCGCCGGTCTGAACGTCCTCCGTATCATCAACGAGCCTACTGCCGCCGCCATCGCCTATGGTCTAGACAAGAAGGCCGAGGGCGAGCGCAACGTCTTGATCTTCGATTTGGGTGGTGGTACCTTCGATGTTTCCCTCCTGACCATTGAAGAAGGCATCTTCGAGGTCAAGGCCACCGCTGGTGATACTCACCTCGGTGGTGAGGACTTCGACAACCGTCTCGTCAACCATTTCGTTAACGACTTCAAGCGCAAGAATAAGAAAGGTTAGTGTCTTTTTGGTCCCCCACAATCGCTTTCACCCCCATTTTGTAGCATCAGGAAAATCCAATGCTAACTTGTATCTGACAGATCTTACTACCAACGCCCGTGCCCTCCGTCGTCTCCGCACTGCCTGTGAGCGTGCTAAGCGTACACTCTCTTCCGCTGCCCAGACCTCTATTGAAATCGATTCTCTCTTTGAGGGCATTGACTTCTACACCTCGATCACCCGTGCCCGTTTTGAGGAACTTTGCCAGGACCTCTTCCGCGGTACTATGGAGCCCGTTGAGCGTGTCCTTCGTGATGCCAAGATCGACAAGTCCTCTGTCCACGAGATTGTCTTGGTCGGTGGTTCCACTCGTATCCCCAAGATCCAGCGCCTTGTCTCCGATTTCTTCAACAAGGAGCCCAACAAGTCCATCAACCCCGATGAGGCCGTTGCCTACGGTGCTGCCGTCCAGGCTGCCATTCTGTCTGGCGATAGCTCCTCCAAGTCCACCAACGAGATCTTGCTGCTCGACGTCGCCCCTCTGTCCCTCGGTATCGAGACCGCTGGTGGTGTTATGACCGCCCTCATCAAGCGCAACACCACAATCCCCACCAAGAAGTCCGAGACTTTCTCTACCTACTCCGATAACCAGCCTGGTGTGTTGATTCAGGTCTACGAGGGTGAACGTGCTCGCACCAAGGACAACAACCTGCTCGGAAAGTTCGAGCTCACTGGCATCCCCCCCGCTCCCCGCGGTGTTCCTCAGATCGAGGTAACCTTCGACGTTGATGCCAACGGTATCATGAACGTTTCTGCCGTTGAGAAGGGCACTGGAAAGACTAACAAGATCACCATCACCAACGATAAGGGTCGTCTCTCCAAGGAGGAGATCGAGCGCATGCTTGCCGATGCCGAGAAGTTCAAGGCTGAGGATGAGGCTGAGGCTTCCCGTATCCAGGCTAAGAATGGCCTTGAGTCTTACGCCTATTCCCTCAAGAACACCATCAATGAAGGCAAGCTCACCATCTCCGACTCCGATAAGGAGACGGTTACCGCCAAGGTTGATGAGATCATCGGCTGGCTCGACAACAACCAGACCGCCACGAAGGAGGAGTACGAATCCCAGCAGAAGGAGCTTGAAGGGTATGTGATATGAAACTCCTTGATTTTTCTACATGACTGATATGATGCTAACTGTGCTCTAGTGTTGCAAACCCCATCATCTCCGCTGCTTATGGCGGTGCTGCTGGCGGTGCTCCTGGCGGTGCTCCTGGCGCTGCCCCCGGTGGCTCCACTCGTACCGCTGACGAGGTCGAGGAGAAGCCCGAAGAGCTTGACTAAGTGTCTTGAATGACAATGTTTTTCTTTTCTTTTCACCTTGCTGTTTGCGGATGGGCGATCGGCTTTTAATGGTTTTTTTTTTTTTTTTTCCTTAATACTCTCTGCTTGTTTCTTTTTAACGAATTTATGGGATTTTCTTTTTGTGCATGGCTGCATAGATCCGAGTTTCATCTTGACGCATGATGATTTGCAGTACCTGGGAGGGAAAAAAGTTCCTTACGAACGTTCCATTCTTCATTAAAAAAATTTGGTCCATGTATCGTAGAATACAGTAACTGAGGCTAATTTGCACATGTTCATCCTTTAACGATACCTTGAGACGCAAATAGTCGAGAATAGATATGATCGATTATTTTCAGTTGTCTATACTGACATTGAGTTTTATACCTCATTCGACTAGACCCTGGAAATACCGCCGTCTATTCATCGTTCATAGACCCTCAAAATCCCCCTCCCACCATCTGCGTAACCTTCTTCCTCCCATCTGCAAAACCTCGCCGTATCCGATTTCCTGGGCCCTTTCAGGGAATTTCTCGCGCTGGTCCCGACAGATCCGGAGGAAGGCAGCAGAGACTCCTATTGTGAAGGCGAAAAAGGGGTCCCCAACTCTATGTATCCGCAAGTCCATAGTATTAGTTTTTGCAGAAATTCGAAACAAGCTACGTCGGTTCATACATATTATGAACATTGTTTGGTTAAAGACGATGGATCTGCGACGTACTTGGAAATTAGGTAGATTTGCATAACTGCTATTGCCTCCCGCGAAGCAAGGTATGTTCAGTTTGTTGAGATAAGAGTGAGATTTCTCAGTCGTGATAGGTATCATGAAGTCAGGTTGTGCTATAAATCACGTGATGTTACTCTGATGGACTGCCCTGAAGGGCGCGGCCGTTCTCCATGTAAACAAATCAGAAGAAAGGCTTTACGTGACCCTGGCGATACCTGTGGCTCAGACTCACCGAATAGCGCTTATATATATATTCTTTAGCTATCAGATATGGCTATGTAAAATTAAGAGAAGTTCACTCTTTTGATCAAGGTCTTACCCATGATTCGATCATACCAAATAAAAGTATCTATCAAAATACAAAGGGCCTGACAGTATGTTCTATCATGTTACTACCGACAGCCGCACGAAGGTAAGAAAAAGAAGAAAAAAGGAAAAAAGAAAAAGCCAAAAGTCTAAAGCCTGCTATTAATATCATTCCGTGCTCCTCTCGTTTATAAGACCTGGCCAAACGCGGGAATCAACGTCTGAGCCAGCCAGAAGCTGAAAACAAGCTTGGGCCCGGTCATGAGCAGCTTAGGTGTGAGACCCTTGAAGAAACTGGTGAGGCCCTCGTTTTTCGCCATGTTCGACACAATGCGGAAGCCAGACTCAGGGTTCTCGAAATTGCGGTTCTGGATACGAGTCTTGATCACATCCAGGGGAGCCGACACAATTAGAGAGGCACTGGCACCACAGACGGATGCCACAAAGTTCTGCGCCCAGGAAGCCGAATTATAGTCCTGCAAGTTATAGATGTATTCCTTGGCGAAGGCGGAACCACCAAACAGCTTTATTACAGATTAGCATCCTAAGCATAATCGACCGGGTCGTCAATGATCAGAAGCATACCGCGAAAGATCCAGGTGCATTGCGAGCAGCAGTCCAGCCGGCACCGCGGTAGAGTCCCATGCCTTCATCGGAGATGATCTTGAAAAGGCCGCGACCACGGAAGGCCTCGGGATTCGTCTGACGTTTAATCTTCAGGACATCCAAAGGAAGAAGGACAATTTCACCGATACCGATTAAACTTATTCAAATCTCAGCAACGGTCTATATGCTAAATTTCTCCTGGTGAGGGAACAACAAACCTTCCGGCGGTAGCATGCATGATAGCCTTGCCTGTTCCTTTTCCAAAAGCATTATCGAAGTCGGCACCATGATGTTTTGCCAGGTAATCCCTTGCGAATGGCTGACCACCGTATTTGTAGATTCGTTGCAGAACCTGTCGAGACCTATCAGCCGATTGCGACACGTGCCTGTATCATCTGTTCTACATACCTTGTAGCCAGCAGCGTAACCAAGACCAGGGAACATCGAAGTAAACTTGCGCCCCAGGGAAGCGTTGGCATACTCTTTGAAAACGACCTGTTTCATACCTTCAATTGACGTAATCTAACTCCGAATACAGTCAGTAAACATGTGATAAACAGTATGTAAGACGGTGGTGCATACCCGGGTCTGATTGCTCATCAATCGCTTTGCAGTTGTATCAACCTTTGGATAGCATTAGTGTCATCTGAACTACGAGACCTTTTAGAAAGGCGAAAACAAAAAATCATCCAAAAGTTTAATCGTACCGGATGGAAAACTAGGAGCTCCGCAATTCCAGCGGTTCCTAGTGCGTTATCTTAGCAGCCAAAAATTTCACGAACGCAAGGACAAACTTACCTGAACCCAGAAGTCGAGCAGTCGCGGACTCCTTCTTAACATCCTTGGAGGCAGCACCAGCCGGAGCAATGGCAGGAGACATTTTTTCTTTTTTTTGCTTTGCTTGTTGAGAAGTTGTTCGATCTGGGGACCAAAGTCGTCGATGGTTAAATTTTTCTTCAATAGATTATTTGTGAAAAGCCCGTGCCAAAGCGATCAGATCAAAGACAAGCAACAAAGCACGTACTTGAAATAGCAGAACAAAAGCAGTACAAGCGAACAAAAAGGAGAGAAGAAGTTAAAAGGTGCAAAAGGAAAAGAACACCAGGGACGTGAAGAGAAGATGCAAAGACCCGGTCAGTCATCGCCTGTTTTGCGCCGAGTCGGACTTTCCTCGAGGCCTCCCCGACGTTGAACCAAACACTAGTCCCAAACAGGACTGGGCCATCGGCATTGATATCGGAGAGACGGGTTAGTAATCTCATGTCTAAGCCATGTTATGTAACGGATACGTCCCATGTAGCTATGCTCTACTAAGTAAAGGACTGTCTCGATCATACCCAGTAGAATATTCATAGTATTTGTGAACATGTGAACATGTTGCCAGGAATTTCTTGCTACTTGCCATCAATTGACTAACCACATCAGCATACAAAAAAAAAAAAAGCGTGCTACGTAATGTAGCCCGACATAAGGATGAAAGCATCACTGCCTGTTAGCACGTATCGCCAGATAATCACATCAAAAGTAATTTGCATTTAAACTTTAAAAAGGTCTTTGCCAATAAAGGTCATAACGGGAATACGGAACACCTGATATAACGCCTGCACACATGAAGAATCACCGCAAGGTCTAACCAGCTCATTCGCCTCATTCCGGAGTGGCTGGTCACACACCCGGCCCCAAAACAAAGCACATACCAACGGTGGAACAGTTACATAGCTTGAGAGAACGGCTGGCTAGAGCTTAAAGGTCGCCGAATGTGTTTTCCCCGGAATATCTAGAGAGTATGTCAATATGTGCCAAAACCCGTCTTTGAAGAATAAAGCGTACGTGATGTACAGAAAGCCATCTTCATCCTTGTGTTCTTCATAAATACTGCTCATAAGTGCAGCTGTTGGCGGTAACACCTCGTCGACGAAGATGAAGATAGCCTTCTCTGGAGACAGCTTGATGCGCTTGCGGATAACATAGACGAACTGCCCGACAGTAAGGTCTGCAGGAACAAGATACTTCTTCTTATCAATAGTGGCGATGTCCGACTTCTCGACCTTCTCACAGATTACCTACGGGTGAAACTCAAGTTAGCACTTCAAACAAGCGGTGAGTAGACATTTTGCCTCTCTGAGGAAGAGTAGCTTAAGGGCAAAGAACCATCACACAGAAGTACAAATTCAGATAGGGTTATGCGTACTGGAATGCGATCAGCGTATTTCTGTCGGATACGCTCGGCTTCTGCCTTGCGCTTCTCAAAGGGGTGCTCGTCCTTGAACTTGGAGCGCATATTGATGGATCGAATCAGTTAATGGAAACAACTAGGTCGGTTTACTATGAGTACTAGGTACGTCAACGAGATAATATGTAGATGGTGTGAGGTACAGAGCGATGCAAATGAGATGTTTGGTGCAAAGGTGAGCAGTAGGGAGAAGGTGGATGATGACAAAAGGGAGAGAGCAAAGCCCCGCGTCATGGGTAGTTCCACGGCTGATAAGGTCGCCAGGAGAGCGGATCACGGGGTGGAGGCGGTGAACAGCCCCACACGGGGAGTCAGATGCCCCAAGTCATCCATTCACTCGACCTGGTTTGTTTGGTTTTTGTCATCTTCATTGAACCAAGTCAGGGAGTTCATAAATATACGTCATATCTTCATGTGGAGTGCCTGAGTGATGTTCCGGTGATACTGGGCCTGGAGTGCTGTACAAAGATATCTTGTAGTTGTGGGCAGGTGTCAGCCTCCACCTGATCAGCGGCTAGTGTACTGGTGCGTGCTATCTCCATAAAGGGCTCTTGATAGGCTCTGCTCGTGGAATTTATAGTCCATATTTCAATCATGTCCAAGCTCCAAGTATCGATAGCCTCTATTCTATGAGAACTCTCACTCTATCTGGTACTATTTGCAAGCTGCCATGTGAGTCACGACTATATCTATAAAAATAGACAACCCTCCAAATGATGCAAACAAAGCAAACTATTTGTCTTGGAATACCATGACTAAGCAGAGATGTATAACTGTATGTGCAAACAGTGCAAACGACATTATATCCGAGATATCCTGACTACGGGTGGTCCCATACAGGTTTGATCCAGAGAAGGTAACTTCAGAATTGAGCTACCTATATTCCTTATGATAGGTGGAGCCATTTGAGAGAGTGTGCACCCACTCATATCGTTCCGGTACCACCTGATCCTTCCATAAATCAGCCAATTCTCAATTCCATTTTATAAAATCATGTCCTTGTCCCGGCCATATATGCCTCTTAGGAGGTCACTCTGCCACTTCTCATCGCAGAGCAGACGCGCACCTTGTAACTTCAAGAATATATTTCGCAGGTATTCAGCGGAGCAGCGATCCCGTGAACCGAAACCATTTACCGTGTGGAGGCCATACCTACGACTCGCCATTGGCGTCCCATTCATCGGAGCTCTGATATATTCCATGGTAAATATATGTTTCGAGGCCAAAAGGCACCTTTTGTTATGGTTTTGGTCTAACAAAGGATGTAGATGACAGGTGAAGTAACCGAACTCGACTCTCCCTCGATTGTGGAGCTCGACGAAGCGTTGAAGAAACAAGCAACGATTAGCGAAAACTCTCCGATGCGTTTGCGAATGGAGAAACTGATCAAAGAGCATCAAAAAAAAATAGTAGATGAGTTAAGCCGGATTGATGGTACTCAGTTCAAAACGGATACCTGGGCACGTCCCAATGGAGGTGGCGGCATATCCTGTGTCCTCCAAGATGGCAATGTTTTCGAGAAAGCAGGTGTCAACGTATCGGTTGTCTATGGTGAATTGCCCCGGGCTGCTATTGAGAAAATGAGGGCAGATCACAAATCATTTGTCGGCGCAGACGTGGAATCTTTGGAATTTTTCGCTGCTGGCCTATCGCTGGTTCTGCACCCCCATAATCCCATGGCACCAACTGTCCATCTGAACTACCGCTACTTCGAGACGTCAGACCCTAAGGATCCTATCAATGGAGATAAGAATTGGTGGTTTGGCGGTGGCACAGACTTAACCCCTTCCTACCTGTTCCCCGAGGACGTCAAGCATTTTCACCAGACCATCAAAGACGCCTGCGATAGGCATGACGCAACATATTACCCTCGATTCAAGGCCTGGTGCGATAAATATTTCTACCTTCCACATCGCCGAGAGTCTCGTGGTGTTGGTGGTATCTTTTTTGATGATCTGGACGCCAGTTTCCTAGAGTCGTCTGCCACGTCATCACAGAATTCTCAGGAAACTCTGTTCTCGTTCGTCTCCGATAGTCTTGCTTCCTTCCTCCCGTCCTATGTTCCTATCATTGAACGCCGAAAGGATATGCCATTCACACCTGCTCAGAAAGAATGGCAGCAGCTTCGACGTGGGCGCTATGTGGAATTCAACCTGGTTTATGACCGTGGTACCAGCTTTGGCCTGCGCACCCCCAACGCTCGTATCGAAAGTATATTGATGAGTCTCCCTCGCACCGCAAGCTGGGCCTATATGGACCCGGTGTCAGGAACCCGCACCGAGGCTTCTGCGGAGGAAGAGAACCTAGGCGAGGACAAGGAGCGTGAAAAGGAATTAATGGATGTTCTCAGACACCCCAGGCAATGGGTGTAAGCCTCCCTATTATTGTTAATGTTATTATTATTATGAAGGCACATGACCAAAATTCAGGTAAAGTCTTCCCTTCATCTGTACAATATAATATCAAGTGTGATTCTAAGAAGTCAACTGGAGATTGTGTCGTTTCTTTAATTTATATTCCTGTTGGCCTATCTGCACAGAATCTGAAAACTAGACGACTGGCCAGTGGCATATAAACATATCATTTTCGAAATATAAAGGGCATGCATGCTTTATCGTTATATATGGCTTATTCTGTCTTAACACTAGTAACAGGTTAAAGTGATAAACAAGGGTAATGCAATCTAAGAGAGAAGTAAATGTAGACAAACGAAATTGAAAAAGTGCAAGCCATAAAACAAGACATGATTGCAGGAACATATATATATTGCTAAGGGCTAGTCTTCGAATTAGGACGTACCAGTCATCCTAACGACCAGCTACTAAGCTCCTTTGCCTTGCCAACCAGCCTTTCTGAGCATCGGCCAGACTCGACCCGTGACGATACCTCGAGACGGGAACATTATTGTTCTGTAGTCGACTTTGCATCTCATACCAGGCGGAGCTCATAAGAGCAAGCTCTCTCGTCTGAGCGTCGATTAACTTCTGAAGTTCGATCTGTGTACATCGTGATGATTTAGCAAATGTAAAGAAGACGGGGTAAGGGGTCCATAATTATCAATCCATGAAACAACGTAGCATATGAGCAAATTAAACAGATACTGGCATGTCTACCTACCTCGCGATCTTTCGGTATGGTTTCATCCGCATCGTCTTCGAAATGTTTTAGTCGCTGCTGGAGGAACTTGATGTGTTCGTTTTGGTTGTGGATATACTGCAATTTTGTTTCAGCACCAACTTTTGGCGTGTGATAATAGAGTTTCATGGTTCGATTCCACTGACCTCAGCGCGTTGTGCCAGTCTCTCTAGGTTCCGCTCAATAAGCTCAACGACTTGTTTCGTGAGCTCCACACCAGACTTCTGGGTAGCTTCCGGGGCACCACCACTGTCTTGTGCCGCGATATCTGCTAGTAGCTTTTTCATTTCCTCCATTGTTTCTTGGTCTTCCACTCGACTTTCAGCAATCTCAGCCTGTCTGTTGTCAAGCATTGTCCGAAGCTCATCCCGTTCAGCACATGCTTCCCTGGCCAGGGCCAAACTAGCCTCAAGTTCAGCTTGGAGCGTATGTACTTTGTGTTTGATTTCACCCGATTCGTCGCGTAATTTGGTTGATTCCAATAAGTCAATCTCTCTGATCTCATCAATCATGGCTAGCTTCTCCTTGCTCGCAAGTAAGGCTGTCAAATGGTAAGTAAACATGCGATCAATTTTTCTCCGAGTTGAGGTATATCCTGACCGGCTGCTTGAGCATCGGCAAGCGCTCTACTAGACTTGTCGAAAGAGTCTTGTGACTCCGCAAGTTTCTTGAGTACAGAAACATACTGATCATACAGCTTCCAAAATTCGTCACTGAAAGTCCCGTTAGCGGTAGTAGTTAGGAGAATTGCGACTGAAATACCCCTGAGTAGAATTTTCTCGCGCATTCTGCAGCGTTTCACTGAAGGTATCGGAAAACTCTTCATGCTGAGCATTAACCTGTAACATAGTGTCAGCCAATTTTGCCCCTGTATACTAGTTCTGGGGTATAAATTACAATTGCCGAGGTTCCCTTCAAGAATTCGACCTCTTTCTTGAGCTCATCATTTTCGGTTTTCCTGTAGCGCGGAGTCAGCCCATACTTGGAGGGTAAGACAGGGAGCACTAACAATTGTGATTCCTTAACGCCAATGTCTTCAAAGTCCTTTTGTAGCGTGCCCTGCAGCTTTGGCATTTCGCTGCCTGGCGTAAGAGCTGGGCTCCCAGGGGAGCCTTCAAGTTCTCGGATCCGTTCCCGTAACTCACTAATTAGTGCATCATCTCTCTCACGCTGTTCCTCGGCACTGCTAAGTCGCTCTGTCAGGGCGTGGTTATTGAATTCAAGTTGCTTCTTCAAACTCTGCATTTCACTGCATTCCTGCTCGATTCGTGGCAAGACTCGTCTATATTCTTCAAGTTCAACATCGCGTTCCGATGTCCATCTTTGCTGCGAATCTGACTCTTTCAGTTGCTGTTGGAGGTCTTTAATCTGATTCTTGAGCGTCTGATTCTCCTTTTCAAAATCCTGACTGGCTTGTAGCTTTGACCGATATTTCTCCGCTGCATTGGCCTTCCTAGCGAGTTGGTCTCTTTCTGTTTTCAACTCATCATAGTCATCCTGCAACCTCTGGAACCGTTCGTTCTTCACGCGCAAGGACTCTACTGTCATTCGCAGGCTGTCAACTTCATCCTGGGCCGCCGCGAGCCGAGCCTCCTGGGATGCGATGATGTCTTCCTGCTGGCGCGATTTAGACTCTAAAGCTTTTGTATTGAAACCAAGGTCGCCTTTGCCGGACTTCAGATTTCCTAGTCGATCCTCCGTGGTCGCGAGGCGGCTCTGGAGAGTATCGTTATTCTCTTGAAGGCGTGCCAGACGGTTATGTAGGTCCTCCAATGCCTTCTCGAGCTCCTTCTTCTCATGCGTCAAACGGTCATTCTCAGCAAGCACTTTCCCTACTCGTTCCTCGAATTGCAGCTCTAGATCAACAGGATGTTCCCGTTTGGACAAGTCCTCCTTGATCTCGTCCACGGGGTCAAGAGGCTCGTGTTGGCCATTTTCGGCTTCTTCGAAAATATCTTTCAGGGATTCCTGGGTCGGAGTGCTCAATGTTTGGAGAGTTTCCACGTAGGACGGCGCGTTCGGCGAACGGATGGCGGCGATCAAAATGAGCTTGAGGAGTTTGTTTGTTTCCTTGATCGAACTCTTTTCAGCGACCACTTCCAAATTTGGCGCCGGATCCAATCCAGAAGGAATCCCGTCGGGCTGTTGGCGGATATAGTTGACCAGCGTTTTGAGAATGTGTTTCAAGTTCTGTAGTTTGGACAACCAATGATCCGACGGATTGCGCTGTGGTAGCTCATCGAGGAAATATTGGGGGTCGATATCTTGTAAGACTTCCCAAAGTATGGTCCCATCTGTCAATTCATCGGTTGTTCGGATTGTTTTGCCAAGGGCGAAACTATTGATCCATTCCAACAGGGCCTGTGTGATAGTGTGTTCAGAAGCCATGTTGGCCTAAAAGGCAGTTGGGTCGGGGAATGCTTCAGGGGTCAGACAACAAGATATCAGGGCGATGGACGATGAGACGGCACGTAAAATCGCATTCTTCTGAAGCAAAGAGGGGCAGATCGGTTGACGAGTTATCGGCAAAGACTCTGAAGGTGTTCTTTCGCAATTTCGCGGGATCCTAAGTGGGATCCACGCTACGCGCATAAATAGATTATTTAGTATGATTTAAGTAGTTCTAAGCCGCGGAGGGGCTTGGAACTTAAATAGTAGCCCCTGTCGATTTTCCCTTCTTCTTTTCTCTCTTTCTGTAGTGTTTTTCGCGCGCTACAGTTTACCACTGGCAATGATTAAAAGAAGCGCATACGGTTGCGCCCGGTTGGTTTTCTCTCTTCTAACAGATGTGTCAAGGAATAGCAGGATAAATATCGACGACTCGCACGAATACCATCCATTACACGCACAACAATAACAATTTTGAAAGTGCTACTAGGACTACTGCATTTAAAATACCAACGCAACAATTCCCATGGGTTCATAAACAATCATAATTCGTTAGCCCTGCTCATGTTGGCTCTCGTGATCTAACGGAACGAACAGTCCCTAGACCAGGACGGCCGCTGGGATGCGCAAGGAAAGCTTCTTCGAACACCATGGTTCTGATCACTACTGGATAGACACTGTGAGGTCCTTCTCAATTGTCGGGTTGTACTTCGCAGATTGGACTGAGATTTTCTGAACCGCCGATTCGGGAGCGTCTGCAGAGAAGCCGCTAAGAGGCTGTTAGAAGTTGCTGCTGAGCGTGAACGATAAGGGAAAGGGAAGAAATACTTGATTATCTCTAGGCAGGAGGATGCGTATTAGTCCTTGATGCACATATAATCAGTCTTTCATCGGGAGGGATTCATGGGTACTTACCGAACTTATGAGTGATATGTCCACCCTAGGAATGAAAAGGATCAGTATGCCAAGTCAGTACAGAATCCGTAACGGTCTACAACATACAGCACTGATGACGGACTTCATTGCATCCTCTAGGACAGATGGAGGGGTGTCTTTAGGATAAGTGACCACAATCGGATTGGCCAAAGACAGAGTCAGGCATCCGAGAAGCAGGGCGGGGAGCGACTTCATTTTCATATGGCACTCTCTGTAAATAGAATGGATATCCTGAAGTACAATGGTAAATATAGATAGGGAAGCTTAAGGAAGAAACTGAGTAGAACAGGGTTGTCTGATACCAGTGCTAGTACTTGGTTCCTACCTAACTGATGAACCATCCTGTTGCAATACGACCCCTGAATCAGCAACTGCGTCATTAAGTGGCAGCTGACTCAGCCACCAGTCACATTTGTTAACCGCCGAACTATAACCCAAATTAACTAGCGCTTTCCCTTTCCTCGAAATAATCTTCATTGACGTCTGATAACCGTTCCAATCCACAATTCTTACCCTTGTTCCTCTGTCTCGTTCGATTTCAACTTTGTCCTCCCTCTCCACCTGGATTTCGACTTTTCCTTACATACTTAGTGGGCATCTTCTAAGATTCCCTCACCCCTTGAGCTTCTCAATTTCATCCGCGGCTGCTTTTGTTGAGCGGCAGTCTTCCTGAGCTGCGACATTGCCCTAGATCTTTCTCTGGTAATCCAGATAACCCTGCGCAGCTTCTCCATACCGATCTGGGTCATATTACTAGTCGTTACTTAGTTGAAGGGTCAATCGGCGCGGGGTCATATGAGGTAGACTTGACAGGGATTCGGGCGGTTTTCGAGGGTTCTTTTCTTATTCTGATTTTGGGCGGAGGTCTTGCATCCTCGTGTTGTTGTCTCAAACCTGACGAAGATAGCTAGCAAGCATTCTACAAGTTTCGGCATCTCTTTCCATCTCTTGCTCTTTCAGGAGACTGTTATTCTCGGAAATCAAAGGAGGGGAGAATAAGAAACCTATATACGATAAATCCGAAGAAAAAGCAGAGAAAAGACATTAAAGGGGAGAAAGAAAAAAGGAAGAAAAACAGAAGAAGAACAGAAGAACAGAAAAAACAGGGAGAGAGAGAGGAATTGATCGGCTGTGCAAACCACACGAACGGGGAAAGAGGAATAAAGAAAAGGAAAGAAAGAAGAAAGCAACCGAAGAACAAAAAAGAAGAAGAAGAAGAAGAAGAAGAATATAATAGCATTGAGTGTTACCAGTCGGCACTCGTGAATTATACAGTTCTTCACCCACACCCTCATTTCATCCCTTATACTCCCCTTCGTGATCAGCATCCACCTGTGTATTTGCCAATATGTCGTCAGGACTGGCCTCCGACGAAGTCGCTGAGGATTACAAGAACTCATTGGAAGATCTAACAACGAACGACAGGTTCCAGATCAGCAATTTAACGGTCATAGCCAAGGAGAACACCGAGCATGCCATGGCCATCTCCCGAGTATTGGAGAATCACATTCGAACAGTAGGTGCTATACTCTTTCCCAGATCATACGCTTGTTGGTGTCGTATTTTGCAAGGTGCATTGCCGGCAGTAGTCTTCCTGAATGAACTTCTAATCTTTGTTCTGTAGACGCCTCCGGCCCAGAAGTTGCCCGCCTTGTATGTAGTCGATTCAATTGTCAAGAATGTAGGGACACCCTACACGCTTTTTCTGGGGCGCAATATGTACCAGACATTCATGAATGCCTATACCTTGGTCGACTCGCCAACTCGCAGAAAGTTGGACGAGATGCTCAAAACATGGAAGGAGCCGGTCCCTGGTTCTCTAGACACGAGGCCAGTCTTTCCTCCGGAAGTTACTCGCGGCATCGAAAGTGCACTCATCAAAGCGAGGACAGCCGCCCTGCAGCAGCAACAGGCGAGGAGCCAACAGGAAGTTCTTACTCGTGGGCGGGTTGGGACACCCCCAGGTTGGGGGAGTAGCAGCGCAACAGCTCAGAGTTCTACTCGTTATCCTCCATCCACAAATTCAACGCCACCTATGCTATATCACAGGAATGGGCCCGGTCATGGGTTTCCATCGGTAAGCTGTCATACGTTTGATTTTTACCATGTTCTTATTACATTTATGTATCTAACATATTCAACAGGCAGACCCGCGATCAACTCCAACGCCTCAACTTCAGCAACAGCAACAGCAGGATGTGAACCTCTCAGCTTTGAATCGGGATATAGAGGCTTTAATCGCAACTGCTCGAAGCGATTTTGCGAATAACCCCCTCGACCCTTCCGTACAGCAACGGCTAAAGGCTCTTCTGGACCTCCAGGGTATCTTGCAACGCCAGGAACTTACTCAGGAGCAATTGAAGCTTGTGCGCGATCAGGTTTCTGCACTTTCCCCAAAACCCCCAAATTCAGTTCCTTCGACTCTTCCCCCTGCTATTCCAGCGGTGTCGACACCATCGATGGCAATGCCTCCCGTGCAAGCCATTTCTCAGCCTCTTCAGCAGCTTCTGAACCCCGGGACACTTGCTGAGCTTATCAAAACTACCGCTGCACGCCAGCAGCCTACACCACCGCCTCAGGCTCAGAGTATCTTGCCACAAGCGCCTAGCAGTGGGATATCGCAGCCAACTGGTACTTTAAACCCGGAGAACCCACTGATTGCGGCGCTCAGAGCACGCGGCCTTTTGCCCCCTGCGTCGGCACCCCCAACAACGTCCGCTACGCCTTCCTCAAACCTCGCTTCTGTCTTTCCTTTCATTGTGCCTGGTCAAGTGCGATTTACACCTCCTGTGCCGACGCCTCAAGTGACCGATAATTCGAATATACAAATTAATGTTCAAATGAACACAGCGTCTATCAAGATGTAGGTTATGCGTATGTTTTATCATCCGACGCCACTGACTTAAGTGACAGACCACGCAATACCTTCATAGCTACTCTTTATGAGTCGAAGCCCAATCGTTGTGGGACTTGTGGGCGTCGTTTTTCTGCAACAGAGGATGGGAAGGAAAAGAAAGCACGCCATCTAGACTGGCACTTCAGAACTAACCAACGCATGGCAGAGGCAGCCAGGCGGGCCCAGAACCGCAGTTGGTATGTTGATGAACGGGTGAGCATTCTATTCGCACCTACCTGATTTGAGTTGCTGTTTGACTGACCCGAGGTAGGATTGGATCAAATCCCGAGAGGTGGGCGATGATGAAGGCCTTTTGGACACAGAAACATCCGGTGAAGTTGCAAATGGAGGCGATGGTGGTTCTGCGAAGAAAGGGCCACCGAAGCAATGGATACGTGCTCCGAACGATGCCACTCTACGGAATACGCCCTGTCCTATTTGCCAGGAGAAATTCGAGTCGACATGGTCTGAGGATGTCCAAGACTGGATATGGCAAGATGCCGTCAAAGTCGGGAATCGCGTGTACCATGCGAGTTGTTATGCAGAGGTGACTAAAGACGGTTCCACGCCAGCACGCCGAGGTACTCCTTTAGGGCGTACTGGAACTCCAGACTCCGTATTGGGCAAACGCAAGGCTGAGGTAGGTTTTGCTGGACGTGAAATGAAAATTGAAGAATTCAGTGACTGACAGTGTGCGCTAGGGAACTGATTCCCCTAACCAAAATGCCCGGGTCAAGTTGGAGCTAATGTGAGAATATCATCTGGTGGAAGAGAACTAGAAATTGCATTTTTTGCTTGGTCTGGTCAGAAATGCGTGCTTCGAGCCCATGAGCCCTCCATCTTCCCTCCCTTTCCTTTCCTTTCCTTTCTTTTGCATTAGGACAGAGTCCCTATGGCGTTCGGAATCCATCTTCAGTGTGATGTACTCCAGCAATTGGGGTGTTTTGTATATATACATAGTAGCCAAGATTTCACCCGACACTTCGAGTCGAAGTATGTTCTTCTTTCCCATCCACCAATGTATTGTATTGTATTGTACTATACTGTAGTACTACGTATTTGTAGGTTCCACGAGGGGCTGCGGGCAAATGACGTTGGAAATATTGTGGATCCCCAGTCGTTTCTTTACTCCGCTCTTGAACCTCCCCAGTACTACAGTTGCATTGTGTCCCATTATAAATCCACTACACCCTTTTTCTCCAGTGTTCTGATCGACTGCTGAAAACTCTCCCTGTACACCCTTTCAGTATTCCCCTCATCGACTACTTCTCAATACCATACATCCAGCATCATACATCGCCTCACAACATGGCTCCACATAACGTTCGGTGGGGTATCATGGGTAAGAGGAACCTTGGCTCAGCAACAATCGATGATAGCTAACACTACTCTTTAAAAACCTTTATAGCCACCGGCTGGATTGCAAGTGGTGCGTTCTTGGACAGCCTCTTCTATTCCCGCCTCCAATTACAATAAAGGAAACCCCAACTAAAAAGAATATGTGACAAACAGTTTTCGTAAGAGACCTCTTGAGAGATCCTAATGTCCGAGGTGCATCTGATGTCTCCCACACAGTTGTTGCAGTTGCATCATCTTCCTCAAAGTCCCGTGCAGAGGATTTTATCTCGGACACCGGCATTCCTGCTCCCTGCGCTGCCTACGAGTCCTATGGGGACCTTGTGGCCGATCCCAATGTAGACGTCGTATACGTTGCAACGCCTCACTCGCACCACTTTCAAAACGTTATGCTTGCTTTTGAAGCGGGGAAGCATGTTTTATGTGAAAAAGCTTTCACTGTCAATGCGGCCCAGGCAAAGATTCTCTGTGAAATGGCGAAAACGAAGAATCTCTTTTTAATGGAAGCCGTCTGGACTCGGTACTTCCCACTTAGCGTACAGATACGTGGCTTAATTCAGGATGGTACTCTTGGTGAGGTTCTGCGTGTGCTGGCCGATAATAGCTTTGGAGATGACGTGGAGGAAAGATGGGGTACCGAGCATCGGATGGTTAATAAGGACCTGGCTGGCGGAGCGTTGCTTGATTGTAAGTTTCACCGTTTTAATCATATGCATATATTTACACCGTATTTACCTGAATTCAATGTCATTGTCCTTTTTGCGCACATTGGGAGGCGTCGCCAAACTGACACCAGCTTGCAGTGGGTATTTACTCCTTGACCTGGGTCTTCCAGGCTCTGTATCACACTCTTCCCCGCGAGTCGCGCAAGGCACCCTCACGGATCTCATCGCATATGTCTCTTTACCACCATACTGGTGTTGATGAAGCAACATCCATTCTCCTTACCTTCCCCACCAGTACTCCGTCCAACCTTCCTCCCCTAGGTGAATCGCAGGCAGTGGCTATGACACATCTCCGAGTGTCGACCAATGCTGACGACAAACCCGTCCAGCCCTCGGTCCGCATTCAGGGCACCAAAGGTGAGATCCAGATATACGGCCCTGCGTTCCGGCCGGAGCGGTACCGGGTTGTTCCGAAGGGGGAGGGGGAAGTCAAAGAGGTGGAATGTTCATTCCCTGGTGAAGGAAAGGGCATGTACTGGGAGGCGGACGAGGTCGCACGGTGCTTGCGGGATGGTAAGCTTGAAAGTGATAGCATGCCGTGGGAGGAGAGCATCATTATTATGGAGGTCATGGATGAGGTCAGGCGTCAGGGTGGATTAGTTTATCCTGAAAACATTGAATCCACAGTTTACCCGACACCGTTGTAAGAGACGGTCTGTATCGTGTGGAGAGAACAAGCATACCTGGTTCAAAAACGTGTATATATCCTTCCCAACGACTATACATATTAAACGTATTGTTTGGGGGTGAAAGAAAAATAAAGAGGACCGTCTAAAGCAACTTATATTTTAGGTTCCGAGATTAGCTACTATACATCAAATCAAACCCCCGCCGAAAGCCACCCAGGTACAGATCCCTGAAGGATACAAAGTCCCTGTATCGCAAAGGAACCTCCGCAGAAGACCAAGGTGGCAGACCATCCATTGTAAAATTTATACCATATCACATTTTGTTGATTTCTCCGGCAGAGACGTAGAGATCACAAGGACCCCTCGGCAAAAGAAAAAAGAATCATTATTTTTAGTTCTGCCGGAAAACGCCGAGAAGGCTCTTCCACACTTGACCCGGTTCCTGACTAGCATCAATCCCCCGCCAGATACCAGTCTTCTTATAATAATCCACGACAGGGGCGGTTTGAGCATGGTATGTTCCAAGGCGCTTCTTAAGGGTCTCAGCATTGTCATCGGATCGCTGAATAAGAGGCTCGCCGGTAATATCATCCTTCATCTCCTCTTTAGGAGGATTGAACACCTTATGGTAGGAGCGTCCAGAAGCCGGGTGAACTAGGCGTCCAGTGATTCTTGCTACCAGCAAGGCATCATCGATCTGCAGCTCGACGGCATGCTGGAGCTTCTGCTTACGGGCAGCAAGCATGTCATCCAAGCGCTCAGCCTGAGCAACGGTACGAGGGAAGCCATCCAAAATGAAACTGGGCAGACAAGCAGTCAGTATCCGTAGATAGAAAAGTTCAAGAACCGCTTTTTCTTCTTTTCTCTCATATACGAACCCGTTCTTGCACTCAGTGTTGTTGTCCAGCTCGCTTTTGATCATGTTGACCATGATCTCATCACTGACCAGGCCACCCTGATCCATGATCTTCTTGGCCTCTTTGCCCAGTTCAGTCTTCTTGGCTACCTGAGACCGCAACATATCTCCGGTAGCCTACTCAGTGAACATAAGTCACAGAACCTTTCGATAGATACCAGCATTAATCTAGGAGTCGGCTACTTACCAGGTGACACACACAATACTTGTCCTTGAGTGCAGGTGCCTGGGTACCCTTGCCTAGTTCAAGAGCTGGTCAGAATTCCGAAGGCTTTAAACAAGAAATCTGAAATATATATAGGTTCATACCTGCACCGGGAGGTCCCATCAGAACCATGCGCATCTGTTCTGCAACGGACTTGGGTTTAGACCCATCGCTGAGACGGCTCTCCAATTCCTCAACCCGAGCCTCGAGCTTGCTGATGATATCCTTAAGACCGGAAACGGCCTCTTCCGTGATAGGAGCCATTGGGATAGACTGAAGCGGAGAGTGAGAGGGATACTATAGTAGAAGTGCTCTCCGGGAGGCCTAAGTCGAAGTCGGTGTGGGAAATAGTACAGGGATTAAAGATGGGTTGGGGGCAATGACGGGTAAATGGAAAGGTCGGAGACTGTATGCTGGGGTTGAAAAGAGGTCAACCGGAGCGGAGTATCGCAGCCGCTTCTCCGAGGTTTAACGATCCGCCTGCAAGTGCCGTACTCGCGGTGCTTGACCGGAACTATTTCATTCCCAGGGAATCGGTGAGATAAACTGCGTCGGAAAGCTTAGGATTAATATCTAATGATTTATATCTCACCTAAGTATATCTCACCTAAGTCCGTGCTCAAATTGCAATTATTCAATTGCGATCCATCGCAGGTATTGTGAAGACACGTGTTCGTAGGAAGCCTTAGGCAACAAGGCGAAATGTGTGGCTACAAAGATGGTTCATCAGCCTCATTGCTGTGGCTCAAGCAGGGCCCGGAGCTCACTCAGCTTCACCTCCGTCATCATCTACCTTCCTCTAATCATCACCATTCCTTCCTACCTCTCAGGATATCGCTTTCCGAGGCTTCTTTCCTTTTCACCTCTATCACGTATACATCCGACTTTTACCTCATCTCACATCCACTTAATAGCTAGCTCCCGTGTCTTCTGTTTCCGCCATGCCTGCCACCACGGCGGATACCCTTTCCCTCGTCACGCGGACCGTCACTGTTGCCCCGTTAGTGCTCCTCTCAGTTGCAGATCATTATGGTCGCTCGGCCAAGGGAACTCGCAAGCGTGTGGTGGGAGTATTGCTAGGAGAGAACTCGGGTCAAACTGTTCGGGTATCAAACAGCTTTGCGGGTACGTCGCGCTGTTGATTCTTAGTTACTATCCCGGTTCCTGCATTATACCACTCCTGCTAACGCTTTTACTCTCAGTTCCCTTTGAGGAGGATGAAAAGGATCCGTCAGTGTGGTTCTTAGATCATAATTTTGTCGAATCGATGAGAGACATGTTCAAGAAGATTAACGCTCGTGAAAAGCTCATTGGATGGTATCATTCAGGCCCGAAACTACGGGCTTCTGACCTAGAAATTAACGAGCTATTCAAACGATACACTCCCAATCCACTATTGGTGATTGTCGATGTCCAACCAAAGGAGGTCGGCGTGCCGACAGATGCCTACTTTGCCGTGGACGAGATCAAAGATGTGAGTAGCTTTGCACAAAAACAAGAACATGCACTTTTTCTCTTTTGCTTGTGTGTCATCTGCTTACCAGGACGGCTTTCTATTTTCAGGACGGTACCACCACATCCAAGACCTTCGTCCACACCCCATCCATAATCGAAGCAGAAGAAGCGGAGGAGATCGGCGTTGAACACCTTCTCCGAGACATTAGGGACGTCGCTGTCGGTACCCTCTCCACTCGCATAACGTCGCAGCTGCAGTCCTTGCAGGGCCTTCATCTACGCCTGCGGGACATTGGGCAGTATCTCCAGAAAGTCCTCGATCATGAGCTTCCCGTCAATCATGCCATACTGGGCAATCTTCAGGATGTCTTCAACCTCCTTCCCAACTTATCGACCCCACCAGCGACACCACGCCTCAGTGGGTCGGAGCAGCAGTCGGAGAACAGCGAACTGGCACGTGCCATGAGTATAAAGACCAACGATCAATTAATGGCCATCTACCTGAGCAGTTTGATCCGCGCCATCACTGCCTTCCACGACTTGATCGAGAACAAGATTCAGAATCGACAACAGCAAGAAGAAAATGAGCTGAAGAGGGAACAGGAAACCAATGCTGTTAAGGCTGAAAAGGAGGCGAAAAAGGTGAATGGAGCCATGAATGGTGAGCAAAAAGAAGAACTGGATGGATCCAAGGAAAAATACAAGAAGAAGGGCCAATGAAATTACTAGCCGGGCTATTGAGTCAATGTGATACGATTTAGAACTACTTAGTCTCACATCGAAATGTATAGTGCAGTAATACTACTCTGATCATGTGGCTTTGGTAGCCTTTGCCAATGGCCTAATAGGGCGATCGCTTTAATGTCCGACTTGAGGTCCTGGGTCGGTTGTCAATATTCATAACACTTTGTTGAAAGTCGAGTACCGTCACGAACCCCCGTACTTCCATATCAACTGAGACTGAGAGAAGGGGAAGTTATTAACATATAGATGTGCATCTTAGGCTTTCAGTTCGCCAGGGTTTCTGACTCAGTTACTAATATATACCTAGACTGCTGAGCAACAGGCCTGATCCAGGTCCTCTCTGCACGAGATCGACCCCAGATTTATGCCGTCCAGTATTCCATGACGTAGCATAGCGTTCACCGCGGGACATCATCTATATAGGCTATTCGGAGGCTAGGGCTATGTCCCCCTGGTATGTGCACGGCTCTAATGTAGATTCTATAGCGCAGTCACATTGGAGATTATGGCTGAGGAATGGCCACCATGTCTTGACGGTTATGATGCCTGCGATCTAGCTGATCATCCGCCCCAACCAGCACACCAGCCTGCTAGCTCCTGCGCACTGACGACGATTCCACTGTGATCGTTTACAGAGGGCCCATTGAGTGCGGGACAGCGCACCGCCAATACACAAGCAAGGAGATGCTTGCATACCGGATGCGACCACTTCACTGACCGTCGAGTTAGGCTTCCACCGAATGTATAATAATGCACGCCGGCCACAAGGTGAGATTGTGAGAGATCTCCGCTAAACGAATCATCGCCGGTTAGATCTGGTCCTAGGTCGCGGAATGCGGCAAACGTGAATGTTGGGCAGGTGCAATTCCACGCTTGTAGTCGGACTTCGTAGCCTTTTTGGTCTGCATTCGGACGAAGGGATGTCGGCAGAGACTCCCCAGGTGGAGGATTGGGAGCCGTAGACATTGAAATGACGAAGAACAAGTCTTCAAGTGGAGGACGCCCGCCATTCAGTGTTAACTCGCCGGGGCTTAACGGCTCGGAAGCGTCGGGGCCCAGAATGCTATAGTCCTCCTTCACAAAGCGCCTGACTAGGCCTCGGTCCAGAATATCCAGGGCAGGTAGAAATTCATTGGGGAAAAGACAATGGAGCGTCAGCATCAGTTGTTTCATGTCTGATGCGTGGCCTGCTGGGAGGGCGGAGAACGGACGCTGACTTTCAGTGTTGACCTCATTTTCTGAGTTGGCAGTACGTTCCGAAAGCTGCGAGATCAAATTCTCAATGAACCGTGTAGTTGAAGGTAAGGCACTATCCGGCGTATTCAGGGTCTCCATTGGCTTAGATTGAGTGGTTGGGATCTGATAGCGGAGTGCGGAGTGCGGAGCTATTATAATGTCGGTGGACTATTCATTCCAGAGGAATTCCGGTTCAGGTCACTTTTACCCGAAATAATCACATAGTACCATAGTGGGGATTAACTGCTGAGAGGGAGAGAGAGAAAAATAAATGGGAGCGAGTTAATCAATCCAAGATACAAGCCTCGGGAAGATACAGATAGAGATCAGGAAAATATAAATTAGTATATTAAAATGGTCGAGGAAGAAACCACAAGTATATTCCATCAAACCCTAAACAAACACGCCGTGCAGCCTTGTTGTATAGAAACATCGGCCTCTAATCTTTTGTGAACGAACACTTGTTGACCGCTGTAAGGGGCCTTTACCTACTATAGCTGGTGTTGTTGACCTCTTTCCCTGCCTGACACTCTTGTAGTGATGATCTGGGTGTTAGTAACCTTCGTTCTAGGCTCCCAGTACACTATAGATCAAAGGTAGGAGAAGTAGCTACCCGATTATCCATTCGTGATCAATTCCTTCGGACTCGATGCTCATGTCAGGCTCATTATCCAGGTTATATCTCTCTCACAGAGTTCTGACGAAGCTATAACTAATAGTCAGTGCGGGAGGGGAGGATATCCTTCCTTGGGAGGTACCGGCTGAGTAGAAGAAGCGGCTCCTCTATGGTAACTGATGTGGAAGATGAAAGTTGGAAGTCTGGGACATAAAGCTGGGCATAATCGACATGCCACGCACATCTGGCAGACCAGAATCTCTCCCACATCCCGTAGTCAGGCCTTTTTTTTTTAAGACCAACATTTTTGTCATGAATTTATAGCCGCCGATACACCAGTTTGAAGACACATTCGGCATAATCCCTCTTCGGACGCCATCAGCTAGCTTACTTATCTATAACCACTTTGGTTTCCTTGTCCTCGATCAGCACCTACCTATCAGAATAACAATTTTACAGTAGCAGTGTAACGGCCTTGTTACCTACCGCTTCCTTTGTGGAAGATGGCTGGGGTAAAGTTCATAGCGAGTCATAGCTTGAGATGGTGAGGCCACAGGATTTCATCAAAAGTCGAATAATCCTAGAAGGTTATTCTTACTAAGTGGTGTGCCAATAGCCTTACGCTTGTGTTTCTTCGATGAAAAGGAACTCGGGAATTACCACTACTTGGCCATGGAAATCATATGCAGTAGATCATTTCCAATCATCACAGATCCTTTCATTTGGTAGAGGTTGGGAAAGGACCGTGAATTTCTTCCACAACAACATCTAGTCCAGACTATGCTTTATGGCGTGCTCTGCTAGTTGCACTTCTAAAGAGCAAAATGCTTCTTGGTCCCGAGTGTAGGAGGGTAAGTGAGCACATTCAGGAATAATTTATGATGAAAACTTCCCTAACGACTACAGAGTGGCGTACAAAATATTGTGCTTGGCGAGCACAGTTGATGATCCGGGCATTTCTATAGTTTCCCCCGAACGAATTCCGTAAGCTCAGACCCATACTGCTACTTGACTGATGCAGTTTCGTTGTGATAATTCCAGGACCCGGATTCTTTATCCTAGAACCGTACCAAATCTGTTTCATGATCATTTTTTGGCAGTTCTCGGACCAATGAATTCTAGCAAGTCTACCGAAGCAGCAAATTAAGCAAGAAAGATTTGCCCGGGCAATATTTTCCCTTGTAGCAATCTGCAGCCGTGGAGTGGAACATGGAATGGCGGTAGCGAAGGAAACCTGGGTCTTTGGGCCCTACTGGTTTTTGATAGAGTGTATCCCAGGCAGGTGAAGGAGACAATTCAGGGTAAGGAGTGACAGGGCATCAAATTTTACATACGGGGAATTTCGTTTCTTCCTTTCTTCCTTGATTTAGCTGTTGGTTGCCCGTGGATCCAAATCTGTGCCGTTTACTTTTGTACTGTTCTATCATCGTTCATTTGTTGCGTCTTCGGTTAATCCAGTGTTTTAAACGCTGCTTAATAGAGATTGAAAATGACAGGTTCGAATGTCGGGGTACATACCAACGAGGTATACGACAAGTAGCAGATTAGGAATGCAAGAAAAACAGATGTAACTGGATTCATTTGATATCCACGTTAGGGAAATCTTTGTCGAAGTTGCACCTGTGTTAGCCAGTGAGATCACCTTCCGATTTTTATTTATTGAACTCTGCTCCAAGATTATATCCCCATTCTACTAAACTGGGGTGATAGTATCTTACTTTGGGCCCAGAGCTTCTGGGAAAGAAAGACAAAAGATTTTGCAAGCTAGGCATCACTAAGGTCACTGTTGCATACGCCATATTTTCCCTCCCCCTCTCCTTCTTTCCCTTGTGTACCTATGAAGATATTCTGTGTCAAGATCGAAACCACAAAACTTGAATAACGGACTAGCTATAGCAATAGATCAGCTCGTAAACTTTTTGATGGATATCCTAAGATATTCGATACAGAAACCAATGGGTACTCTCAAATCAACAATAGGTCCAAGGCAATAACAATAACTGCCAATCCACCTGACATTCTTAAACTCGCAGAGACTAAATTCTCTTATCGATCAGAAAGAATGGGAGTTACTACCTGACTAACAATGTCCCTTAGATATCATGGCCAAGCTTTCGAGACTCTACTGTACTGGCAATTGCATGTCCAGGGTAGATAAGAAGATTATTAATGTATTCTGCTTTGTTATCGAACAATTCTAGAATCTGACTTTGCAAGAGATCTATCATACTCATGGTGATACACAGACGATTTCAGGATCTATACTCTGGTTTTCTAACACCACTGGTTGAAAGCCTGATTCCAGAACTGAGAGATAAGATGACTGGTTGTTTGCTGGATACCTTCTGAACGCCAAATAGAACACGGTTAATATATCTTCTAATTACTTTGGTTTTTCGAGGAGATTTCGGCAAATACTGAGTATAGATGATTTTACCGGTTGAATAAATCGGCGTCAAAGAGGTAAATGAAGTGGATAATGTATAAGTGCAGACATCTATCTGAAACCGCACATAGTCTGGATCTGGCCCCTCAGCCAAGACTTCTCGTGAACCATCACAGTTTGCTTTCTGACTTCCAGACGAGAAACGAGAGATCCATCCCGGAAGAAGATAATTGCCACTAGTATAACCATGGAAGCACAATGATAATTTACCAGAATAATTCAAGTCAAGCGCTTCCCCACAACATGGGTTTCGCATCAAGTCACCACCTGTAGATCTCTGGATACCCTGCTCTACCCAGTACGTACTCTGACCCCTCAGTAAGATTAATTACGGGAATTCAATCAAGGCATCTCTTGTCCCTTTCCCGCTAGGTTCGATGGTCTGATTTCGCCCAGTCGAGAACTTGATGAGACAAATGACATCCCGTCCCTTATGGCCGAACGAAACGAGATTGGTTGGAAGACCAGTATGTTTCTGAGGAGTTCCTCTGACGCAGAAACTCTCCTGAAACAACTCTTGGCATGTCATGTGCTCATACTCTGGGTCGTTTATGGTTCGCAGTCAATGTTATGTACATACATACCTACATACTATACTGATAGAAAGGGATTGCATCCCATCCACCCTTTCCATTCAACGAGTTAGTCCATGCCACTAGTATTATTGTGTCTCAAGCCAAGTCCATAGACAGCACTACTGAGATCAGGCTATGTCAATAGTTTTGGTTTATTTTACTTTACTCTTTTCTTTTTAAGGGACCCGTACATCTACTCTCTAGCGGCAATAAGGCAGAGAGAAGAAGAAGAAGAAGAAGAAGAAGAAGATGATGATGATCAATAGCCCTTTACCCTAAGGTTAACAGCTCATTAACTGAGAAAGTTAGATTGTCAATTATGGAAGAATCGAGTTGATACTGTTAGGGCAATCGACTCAGTTCCATAAGCATGTAGAAAATGGAAATATATCGCCAATACAGAGAACTATATTAAGGGCACTTGATCGACAGCTCCTATATGAAGTGACAAGGGAAAAGGAAGAAAGAAAAGAGAAGAAAAGAAAAAGAATAAGAACAAGAAAGTACAGGAAGTACAGGAAGTACTCTGAAGCAGTAATAACTCGGAATCAACTTCATGGGCGCCCCGAAATTGTCCCATATCTGGAAGGTGACAGCTGAGTTCCTCTCTCAAAACTCCATCCAGGCCCACACGGAACTCCATCACGCATCCTATGGGCCAACCATATCGTTTAGAAAGTTCAAGATATGGGCCCCAAACCAAAAGCTGGCGTCGCCTTCCCCCCATAATTCCCCTTAGTCTTGCACTTCTTAACACATCTAGGCCCTAGCTAGCGCGCAGATCCACCCTTTGTTGGGCAGCGGCGAATGTCAACCGTTTTCACCATCACAACAAGCGTACCTTTCAGCTTTGCCACCAAATGATGATCCATTGCGTTTCATATTTTCAAAGAACCCATCCTCTTGTCTTATTATCAATTGCCCCCCTCCCGTATCGGTCTCTGTTTTAGTACATACTATAATTTCACTGGCCAGTCCAAAGTTAATCCGTGGAATCGATGAGTTAAAGGATAGGCTAGGGACTCAACAAGTTGATGATTGGGTCGAAGTGCTATGGCTGAGGCATACTCGGTAGAGAACGTTACTGTTTATAGTATCAATGACGATCATCATAAAGAGACCACAACCACATATAGTTAGGGGATGGGTCATTGTGATCGAAATGATTCGGTAGTTGAGAATGGCAAGAACAGAATGTACTTGGTATCTAACATGCCTGTACGGAGTACTGTACGAGGTACCTACGGAGTAGTCCTACCCGAAACTACTTGTTCTTCGTAGGCGAACCAAATCATCCTGACTCCTGAAGGGAAAGAGAAATAAATAAACAATAAATAATGAAAGGAGGAGGAAGTACAAGAAAAAGCGAGAAGAGAGAAATGAAGAAGATGGTACAGTTACTGTTCTCCTCTCTAACTCTCTAACTCTCTATTTGTCACAACAGCATACAAAAGTGTGTAAAAGCGAAGGGGGAAAAAAAAAAAAAAAAAAAGAGAAAGACAAAAAACACAACCGAGAACTTGGCTGTGGGGCTGTCGGACATTTTTTTTGACGATCATTGCGTGCCGGGAATAGCTCAAGTAGCAACATCCCTGTCTGAATCCACCACACTGGAGCCAGTCATGTTTGTTTGTCGGTTCCCCTCAATTCAAAAATCTGAATCGATATTCGCCGCTAAAAAAAAAAAAGAAGAAGTCAATGATGGATCCTTTTGTCTCCTGCCAAGGTAGCCATTTATCTCACCGATGGTTTCTCGATGGTATGATTATGATTACGACATCCCGTCTTGATAAACACCAATGATTTCGCCCGGAGATTTTCACCTTTGTTGTCGAACATGCTGTCCATTGCAGGATTGTAGCGTTCGCCTTTCGTTTATTTTTCCCACAGAGACGGGATGGGTGTCATACGTATGTCTACTTTATATATATCACGTACCCTAATCTCGGCTTGAACGCGAGGGGGTTAGCCCACTTAATGATGGATACCGCAGGGCTAAAAGGAATGAATGGTCCGAGGTGCTTATAGAATAGAACCGTCTGACCTAGAGGTCGCTTATTTCGTGCATGTGACTATTGTCCTCTCTACTTAATTTTTTTCCTTGAGTACTTGCGCGATTCGGGTCCCCATCTGTTTGATGACATTATAATCGTACGGAAGTCATGTGTGATTGACTCCGGCTACCCATTGATAATGGTATTGTTGTAAATTGGGCTTTGGGCTAAGTCAGCAGTTCGATAATCGAAACCCGATCAAGTCCGCACGGGAAGAAAGTGGGTGGCAGGAACACATGTTCTAGACCCGCGGCAGGTCATTGCAGTAGAATACCCACACCACCATACCGAATGTATACACATTTGACTGGTACATACCAGTCCGTGCCATGAGGCTACAGGTGAGATAAAATTGGCGGTGGATTCGAATACTGAACGGGTCGGTTCTCACAGGGCTAGGCAAGTTACGGCTATAAGGCAACTATACATGAAGAATGGGAGTGTTCTAGCCAGGCACGTTGTGATAATATGCCACTCTGGAAGTATTTGCCTGTAACTTGATCGTATGATGTTTGGATTTTGGACAGGACAACTCTTCTCTGGGAAGGGTTGTTTAATCTCAGTGGCGGTGACTTACCGCCTTCTCCGTAGATTTCTCAGACTGCATGAATCTGCGTCACCCGAAGACGTTTAGCGGCTACAGTTGTCGTCCTCGCAAACTAGGTTTTGAGACCTGGAACGAACTTCTGCAGGCTTCTAATGTTGGAATTAGGTTCCATGGCAAGCTACACTGGTCCCTATCTGTTGGCATAGCTATTCAGTCTGGATTGAATGATGTAGTTTCCGAGAGTAAATTGGCCGGAATCGTAGTCCAAGCTTTGTTTAAGCAATGTATGAAGTGAAAGCAAGACATATCACCAGTATGGTGTAACAAGCAGAGAGATGAAGTGGAAGTGGGTGGGGCAAGGATAAAATAGAAATCAGAAACAAGTCCCCAATGGTATTGTAAAAAGGGAGATGACCAGTGGACATTGATGGGTAACTTGGCAACATCGATTCAAGCTTTCACTCGTCGACAAGCCAGCGCGTTTGCCATGTCATTTGAGTAATCGAGCAAAGGACATAAACTGGCGTTATTCAATCCACAATCTAAGGGCAAGGAGACATCTCATTGGGTGTCAAGACGGATGGTTTTTTTACCAGGTCCCGTTTTCCATTTTCCTTTTTTGCGGTGCAAGGCCGTCCACCGCCTCGTCAGAACGAAATTTGTACTCGAAAAAGCCACCGTTTCGGCCCCACTAGTCCCTAGGTAATCAATCTTGCAGGGCTTGCAGCTGCTTACGGGAAACCCCTTGTTCCCGCGGCCCCGTCGTTCGAAGTCAACCCGTGATTCAGGTACTCCGCACATTACTACCATGATCTTATTATCTACTGTAAGTTACCATGGTACCCATCTTTAATCCTTGTTATAAATCTAAGGACAATGCAGATGAGGGGGAATGAGAAAGGAAGATGACAAGTCTTGCGAACGCCATGCAATGGGGAAATCAATCGAAGAATGAGGGTCACCAAGCTGGCACTTATAGACTGAGAAGAGACGGGCTCCTCTTACGTCTACATGGCAATACCAAGAAACTGCACCAAATTCACGAGTTAAAGCGATACGGCCTGCATGTATGGAAAGAAAAATGTCCAAGTGGTGCACATACGGATCCTAGCCATGTAAAGAACCAAAGAACGAACGACGCGTCTTTGACGATAACGTAAATTAGTGAGTTTGGATCCATAAACTATGTACCATATTGCGGTTCCAGGCCGAGAGATCAACAGACCCAATCTAACAGGAAATTATCGAGACCTGGAGATCGGGAGGCCCTAAGTTGCCCGAGTGGGTTGAATAAGATGATAGTATTTGGAAACCCGCGTCTCCCCCTGATTTTTCAGAAAGAGTAGGAGGTAGCTGCTCTCAAGCGATTAAGGCTCACAGCACATGAAAAGAGTCATTGCGCTCAAACGAATAACCCGGTTTTGAGACAATCATAACTACCTTGATTGGCTCAAGGATACACTGAAACTGGAGCTGTGTATGACAAGGCGGCGGGCCTCAAGCCATGGGGCGTACATTACAGTAATGGATAGTGCTGCATCCTCTGCTGACGGACTTTGTTATGTCGGAGAAAAAGTATTGAGACACTGCAAGCTCTCCTATGGCTGCATCCTGTCGAGATGTCATATGTAATCCTTGTCTATGCACACTAAGCGGTAACAATATGCAACCTGCATCAGCATCCACAGCCTGGTTCACTTTGAATGGCTGACAGCAATAAAACTAAGACAGAGTGTGTACCATGTCAACAAACCCAGGTGCGTGTCATCTCACCTCATCTAGACTCAGAACCAGGAACGGCCGCCGCCATTCGAAAGAAATTGAAGCGCAGGGAGAGGGGGGAAGAACGAAAGATTCACTTAACTATGAGAACAGAAAACCCACATCAAGAGTAGAGATGATCCACCCGCAACCACGGAAAAGAGACAGACCGGTTCGTCGAGGACCGGGTGAAGGCACGAGGATAACTACAAAGGCTTGTAGATTCATCGGTTCCCTTCAGGTTTGATCTCGTAACGAGTTTCATGGAGACCGATGGAATTCCATATGAAATGACCGCCTAGATAAGCTTGAAAGGGCGACGTTTGTCAACGGAGTATGGTTAAAGAATGATGCCCATCACGTGTTAAGATGGATAACCATCCCAGAATATCATGAATAATATTTTGCTGGCAAGCTAGAAAGTTATAGAGCTAATAGTAGACATCCTCCAGACATGCCGTTTTCAGGGAAACGTTGATTGCCCTGATAAGGTCGGTCACGTCAGGAATGAGGTGCAGAAAGTTGGACGAGGCGAACGGCTGCTAGCAGGACCCCGGATCCTAGTAGTGTCTGACTAGTGACATTGCCTTTGGCTGATACTTACTTTTTCGGGTTGGAGTTCGTTCGCCGTTGACAGATCCATCACCATGGTCCGGCACTAATTGGACAGACAGTCCACAGCCGTTGGGACTCGGAAATCTAAATTGATTGTAAATGAACCAACCAAAACAGGGAAATCGGGAGAAGAACCTGAAGCGGAGGCTTAATTAAATTGAGATGCAAAACCCAAAGAGTACCAAAAATAAGGACTATTATTTTATTTATTTTTTTACCTATTTCCCCTCTTTTCTCTTCTTTCTCCTTTCCTTTTCCTTTTCCTTTTTTTTTGACCTCAAGCAGAAGTGAGTTATGATACTTTTCTAGTTTAACAATTTTCCAAAATTCCCCGGGGAATACTTACTTTCTATGTACTATACATGTAAAAAAACTATATATATCGCCGGATGATGGATTTGTATGGTGGTGTTTCCAGTATAAGCAAACGAAACAGTTAAAGTCCTTGTTAGAGATGCTTTTAGGATTTGACACCATCGTTGTTACGCGACCCATAGATGCTCGTGTTTTTGTTTTGGTTGGAGCTTCCAAAACCATTCATACTTGGTTCAGGATGATGCTGGTCTCCACAGGGAGGAACCATGTTCTCCGTAACTACGGAGTACTCTGTCGGGAGTTTTTATTATTTTCATTTTGTTACCTTCCAGCCAGCCCCCCACCACCGAGTTAGGTAGATGCTCTCTCTTTCTCTCTCTCTCTCTCTCTCTCTCTCTCTCTCTGTGTGTGTGTGTGTGTGTTCTATATATTTCTTATTAGATATAGTTTTTTTTTTCCCACCGTTTCGGACCTTTTTTTCTGTCCTTATCCCATCTTACTCTCCCCACTTTTTACCTTCCCTTCGAATTGCCCTAACTTTCGGGTCGTACACCGGGGTTCCCGGCTGTGCAAGTGGCTCAGGCCTTAATATCCTTTCCCACCTCCCCCTCTATTGCATATGGAGTAGTTCACTGTACCTTTAAACTTCTTGCTTGCTGCCCTTCTCTCGTAACGAATGTCCTGCTCGGATTATCCTCGGTCATCTGAGAAGGTCAATGACAGACTATAACCCCGTTAATCAAAGTGCCTGCCCACTATGAACTCCAAGCTAAAGGAGACAATCGGGATTGCGATGATCTAATGTAGATGTACACATTTGCGCTTACATACAAATTCACACACACCTATTGGAGGATACTTACAACTTACACATAAGATACATTGTGCAGAAGGTTTGAAGCTCGAGCTTCTACCAAACTCCTCTTTAATTACAAGACGTTTGCCCATACGGCCGGGCTCTTGTTTCGCCAGCACATCCGCCTACCGAGTCATCGTCAGAACCCAAACTGGGCTCGAACGTTCGAGGAGAGTTTGACCGCCAGTGAATTCTTCCATTCAAGTATAGTTTGGGACCCGGGGAGTGGAGCCCTCGAGTAAGTGATAATCGTCGTCGTTAATATTAATATTATTGATTGATTTATTATTTTGCTTTTTCTAATTTCTTTCCCTTTTACGTAGAAGACACAAAACAAAAAAAAAAAAAAAAAAAAAAAAAAAAAAAAAAAAAAAAAAAAAAAAAAAAAAAAAAAAAAAAAAAAAAAAAAAAAAAAAAAAAAAAACCAAAGCCTCTTTTTCATTAATTTCATCAGTGTTGTGTATATAGAAAGTAACAATTAGTCATGACTCTAGGCTCTTCTTTACCTCTCGCTGTGCCCTAGAAGGCTCGTAGTAGTTTCACTACCTTCGTAAATATCGAACTGGAAGAGTGTCAAAAGAGCACAATGGATTAGGTAGATAGGCATTAAGCTGCAACCCGGGACGGAACAGTCATAATTAAAATCACCTTGAATCGTGGTACTTCGTAATAATAGTAAAATTAAAATACTATTAATATTAACGGCTTCTCGAACCCACTGGTCCGTCAAAGTCGCCTCTGGTTAGCTTCCCCCATGCCCTACTTACCTATCAGGTACTTTACCTACCTTGACCTGGGCCTTACCTTTTAGGAGTACCTGTGTAGGATTATTACTGTTGAGCTTCTTATTTGCTATTCGGCGATGCTAGATCACCTGTCAATGCAGGCGATCTGTTTTTGCATCTCAAGCTGTTTCATCTCTTATCGGCTTTCCTTTTCCCTTTCCCATACCCTACTTTTTTTCTTTTGCTTTTCTTCCTTCTCCCATCGTCTCGACATCTTTGTTGACTATTCCTAGTTCTAGTCACTTTTCATCCTTGTCGCTGACATATGTCTGGACCCAATATCAAACCGAACCTTCTCTCCTAGTTTACTGGATATCATCTTTCTCTTATTGCTGGTGCTTTGATATTTCATTATCTCGTTGGGTGTATCGACTTTCTAACTACCATTGAGAGTCTTTATTCGTCATACCCGTCCTTCAGCTATACCATTTTTCCTTTCTCGCTTTCTCGCTTTTTTTTTTTTTATCTCTTTGTTTGTCCTCCTGGAGCTGGGGGCCCTCTAAGGAACTGACAGTTGAATCTATAAGACGCCCTGCACTCCGGTAGTGCCATCTACTTTCCCAGCTACTGTGTTGGGACACGGTTCACTTGATTGGCACCTTTAGAAGTCGGACGGGAAGCGGTTAATTGGAAAAGGTGCTGCTTTTTCACCGTTGATATTGAGAGTCAAATATCACTTGTGATTTACACCCCAACTATTGTTTCAGTTTTGTTTAGGAGGATTCTAGTCGCAAGTGATCGTTTGAACACGGCACTTAAAGCGGCAGTGCACCTGGTTGCCGGATGCTCTTATCCGCCTAGGCTTCCCATATACTCGAAAGGAACGAAAAAGCTTTCTCATTGCGAATCGCGCATATGATTGCGTTACAAAACCAAGCTATCCTGCCTCCCGCCAAAGTGGATATCTCACTGCTGTTGAAGCCCCAAGATGAGGAAGCCGCCACACCGGTGACCACTACGTCCACCTTTCCACCAAACCCAATCCCTCCGGCTCCAATGGCTCCGGCAATGCCTGTTGTTGCCTCGGCATCGGTGCCTTCTATACCTCTCACAAAAGGCCCCTCATCGCTTCCTGCTAAGCGTCTTCAACCCGCTCATACAGCAGAATCCCCGGCGAAAAAGCAGTCAAAGTGGTCTCCTGAAGAGGACGCTTTGATCATCGAGTTACGTGGGAGTGGCATGAAGTGGGAGGACATTAGCAAACGACTTCCTGGACGAAGTGCTATTAGTTGCCGCCTTCATTATCAGAACTATCTAGAGCGCCGAAGTGAGTGGGATGAAGACAAGAAGAATAAACTCGCAAGATTATACGAAAGGCAAGTTGTACAGAGTCAATGATTGAAAGGTGGTAACATGGAGTTTGTTGCTAACTTTTATTGCAGATTCAAAGCAGAGATGTGGTCCAAAGTAGCGGAAGAGATGGCAATCCCGTGGCGAGCTGCAGAAGCTATGCACTGGCAGCTAGGAGAGCAAGAAATGGCGCGCCGAGCTGGCGTAGTACCCTTTTCGTTATCAAGTTCAGCTATAGACCCGCCAACACCTCGGGCACGAAGAACTAGCACATCTTTATCTCGACCAAGAAAAGGATCGACATCACGCACAATTCCCCCACCACAGCTGCCCTCCGTCGAAGAGTTGACTGCAGGAGTTCCAGCATTTGCTCCGCCTCCACCATTTCCTCCCCCAAGGGAGGCATACCGAATAGGACGACCATTGGATCTGAGCGGCACCCACAGTAGCCATATGGGCCCCAATCTTGGCATTCCTCCTCGTACCCTTCCTTAGGGTCAAGAATCTCAAGCCTGTGCCTCTTTATCGCCTCATATTTATGCTTATTATTTTCTTTTCTTTTCTTTTCTTTTGGTTCCGTGTTCCTTGCTGCATTCCAATTCTGTTGCGCGTTATAATGACTTGCATAGCGTTGGCTGAATATCTATCTTCGTCCATGGGAAGTATTCCCTCGATTGGCTCGGTTGATATGCACCTTTTCTTCAAAAATTCAAGAAAGTCCCGGGTTTGATGACAGTTTCTGCCTGTTTTATCTCTCTTTTGTTATAAATAGATGCCATGAAAGATCTCCGGAGCTGGATCTCGGAGCACGCGTTATTCCCATGTGTTACGGTGTTTTTCTCACTAGTCTCATCGTGTTGCGATTGCCCACCAATTGTCTTTTTCATAGCCAGATTCCAAAACACGGCCACCCGCATTGATTATGTCACGTTCTAACTCATTGGCCTCATAAAGATGGTAATATCGATGGAAAACTTTTGGTTGATCAGTTAGACCGTCCTTGGGGGAGTTGTTTGCCATAACCCATGGAACCATAACGTCCTGCTGGTCACCTTTATCCCAACCCCTGCGGCTGGTCTTCTGTTCGAGTGCCCATACATATAGCAGGACTTTCCCTCCAGGAGCCTCTGTCGTAGGAGGCTTCAATGTGCGCAGAATCTCACGGATAGCCTGGATTCTTCGATCCGGTGTTGACAGGTGGTGTATCACAGCTATCGATATTGCAAAGTCGAAAAATGAATCTGGGTGTGGCAGGTTTAAGATATCCGCCACAATGGCCGAGTGTGGTTGGTGATTTACGGCAATTCGGGCAAGATTCTCGGATCTGGCATCATTTAGTCAATCACAGGATATATGAAATGGTTTATTCAAGAGACCATGAATGAAAGCGAGACAATGGTAATTTTCCAAATTAAAATGAAAAAGCAAAATAGAGCCAAAAAAAAAAAAAAAAAAAAAAAAAAAAAAAAAAAAAAAATAAAAAAAAAAAAAAAAAAAAAAAAAAAAAAAAAAAAAAAAAAAAAAAAAAAAAAAAAAAAAAAAAAAAAAAAAAAAAAAAAAAAAAAAATAGAATAAAAATCAAAAATAATGATTTAAGAACAAATTGATGGAAAAATTGATAAGAACAAATGCGAAATAAGATAAGTATACATAGAAAATAAAGAAAAAGAAATAAAGAAACCATGCACAGATCATGAATGAAAGTACTTACCGGTCTGAAGCAATAATAAAGACATTCTGGTTTACAGGTAAACATTTTCCGTTACCACATCCCACATCTAGTCCGATAGCTCCGGGTGTTAACTCTGTAAGGAACCGTTTCACGATTGGCCACGCCTGATAGATACGTCAACTCGCATGCCCTGGGCAGTAGAATGCCAAAAAATATGGTATATATATACCTTGTAGCGAGTGGAGGAAAAATGACCTGCGATTTGTTGGTATACCTCATGCACATGCTTTTCTTCGTATGCCTCCTCTTGCAGCTTTTCAGTCACCAAAGACTGCTGATCTGATGATGCCATTTCCGCTGTATTACCTTGTGATCTTACACTTGGTCTCTTTTTCATAGAGCTATGGCGTTCGGTACAGCGTAATCGTCAAAAGGTCTGGAGTGCGAGAGGGAAAGAAGGAGGAATCTAACAGCATCAATCAGAATTGAAATCACTATCAAGAAACATGGTACAATACCATACACACCGTAATTAGATAGTTTCGAGCGCATGTCGTGAAATCAGTGCAAAGATTAAGGTTAACGGGTACTCGCCATTCTTATGTAGCTCGGAGAATATTTAAATCAGCAGATCATACTTCTTATACTACTTAAATAGTATTTATTTTTCTTCACTCTTTTCGTTTTATGTCCTTATTAGTCTATCCAGGCCCAACATACTATTCCGTATTCCATCCAATATTAGCTCCATCTGCATACAACCGGATGATTACCTGACTAAGGAATGCGGCCGTATCTTACGTCAACCAATACACATCAATGACATGGATTAAGTAACCTAGGTTTGAGTCCGCATACTACCTCAGATACTTCCTACAACTATGAAACCTACGTTAAAGTAATGATTAGTATTTACCTATGTAAAAAGGAAAAAAATGACCACGAGCAATGTGTACACGGTTGGTTACTTGGTGGTTAGCTTACTAGCAGGAGGATTGCCTAATAAAACCACGTGCCTCTGGACCCTGGGGTCTTATCGGTAGGTACGTACCGTGTACGGAGTACTTCGTACATCCCACTTCGCACATGAAACGTTATCTGACGACTAGACTCTCCTACGCCAAAAAAGTAAAGCAACTCATTTGCACATTTAGATCCACTGTTTCTCGACTGAAGGCACACACTCTCCAAGCGACTATGGCATTCCAGCCCACTCCATCGGATGTTTCTGTCCTCATTACCACGCCTACAACAAGTGCCAATTCTGAGCCGCACTTCGTCACGGAGCGTCGAATCACCCCAACATGGACCGTTATGCAATTGAAGTCAAAGTTGGAAACGATGACAGGGATTCCTCCTAGTAGTCAACGCTTAAAATTGAAGACTCCAGGATGTCCTGACCAATGGGTTGACGGCGATGAGAACCTTATCGGTAATTGGGGGGTGAGAAAGGGCTGTGAAATTGAGGTACGATGTTCGAGATAGTTTGAGACTTATATGAGATTTTGCTAAAGTTAAACATCGAACCAGGTTCATGATTCACGCCCTTCTTCAGCACGGCCAAACTTTCATGATTTATCATCTGTTGAAAAATACGTTCTTCCTGCAGCTACCTACGAGTCCCTACCAAATTCGGTATTGGCGTGGAAAAGGCACCAACAACTTGGTCGGTTTGACCCAAATGTACTATCACCGTATGAATCGGCACGCAAGCAAGCAGAAAAAGACGCCGAGGATATTGGGAGTCGAGGTAAGAAGCATAAACGGGAAACCAGTCGAGAGAGAAAGAAAATGAAAAGTTCAAAAATTTAACTACCAGAATGCCGCTTTCTATAGGTATCGCGGTTTCCAGACGTGCGATTATTCTCCCGTCCTCTCCGCCACATATCCGACGAGGAATTATTCGCTTTGTTGGACCGGTGCCATCCATTCCCTATCCCGGGGTAGAAACCAGAGATGCTGATTCTAGTGCGCTGCCTATCTGGGTAGGAATCGAACTTGATGAGCCATCTGGTAAGAACGATGGTAGCGTGGGTGGAAAGCGCTATTTTACTTGCCCTAACAAGACTGGTATTTTTGTGAAACCCGAAAAGGTTGAGGTAGGAGAATTTCCGCCTTTGGGCCTAGATGAGCTAGAGGACGAGACAATGGAGGAGATATAATCTGGGTCATTATGACAATTGAGACGAGGCTTTTTGGGTTAGACCATATACATTTAATATCATTGAAAACGCGCCGGTGAAACACACGAACAGAGTTCGTGTTCACACATGTTGCTATCAGGAACTGAGAGACAACAGAAAGAACAAAGTGAGGAATACAAGAAACACCGACAGCCCAGTATTCATTCAAGAAGATCGCTAAGCCCAACAAGGTCCACGCCTATGACAGACACAAAAATGGGAAACAGATGGAAATAAAACGTCAATGCTACATTCACATGAAGTTGGGAGAAATTAAAGAAGATAGGCAAGTGGCGTTGGTATCGTAAGGATAGTACCCATAAAGGCCTTAGAGCCTGTTCAAAGACAGTCACTATGATGCTTTAGAGCCACCTGCCTTCTGCTTCCCCTTGGGTCTACCTTTCCCGACACCAAGAGGACGTTCAAATTGAGGGGTTGGTTCTTCTTCCATAGTATCATTCTTGGAGGCAGACCCAGGAGCAGAATTGTTACCCTCCACAGGAACACAACCTTGCGTGAAGAACAGCCGGGCGTCCTTCCCATGTGTGTTTGCGAAGCTGTAATAATTGCCTGAAGTAAAGCACAGATGGTCAGACATCTCTTGAAAAGGTAGACTGGGGGGATTTTGCCAGGCTCAACGTACCTCTTGGCACTTGGAATACACAGCCTTTTCCAGCGCTAAATTGTACACCGGATATGTCTACTTGTACTCGGCCGTGGCATACGTAGAAGACCATATGCATCTTCTTTGAATTTTTTGGCTTCTTTACTCCACCGCTTGGCAATTCAACGATCCCGGAACCTAAGAAAGGAGAGCTAAGTAGTTTGGCAAACCGAAAAGTTGAACCTTTGACATCCCTCGTTTCAATACCGGAAGGCGCATATGCAATGTCTACATATCAGAGATCAGCACAATAAGCGACTATACGGAGACTTGAAAAGAAAACAAAACTAAAGGAAAAAAATGTAGACTCCACTCACCGAGGACCTCTTCCTCGTCTATCCCAGCCTGGGCGTCGGGATCCCACTTCCTAATGTAACCGTGCAAAATCCCTTCCTTCTCCCAAGGGTCAATATAATCTTCGTCATCTTCCGAGTTATTGTCATCCTTAGGTTTCCCAGACTTTGACTTTTTCGAAGGTCTGCCCTTCTTTGGTTTCCGTCTTTCCGGTTCGAGTTCTTCCGTACGTATAATCTCCTTAATGGTAGAGAGAGGGTAGCGTTCTCCCTCGGCAGCCTCGCCATCACCATAGACACATCGTTCGTTTTTCCAATACGCAAGAGGTCTGACAGACACTCGCCCTGACCGAGTGTGTGTAGTGCTGCTATCCGTTGGGGTCTCCCGTTTGAGAATATATAAGCTTCGCCCCTTTAAAGGCCCCGTGCGGTTGACGTGATCCTCAACAACCCTATCCAAATCGGGATGGCCTGACGTTTTTGGTTCTCTAGTCTCTTTGTCGGAGGCCTTAAACTTCTTTGACAGCCTCGGTTCCTCTGTATCGTGGCTGATGCTGCGCTGATTCTTCGCGGGCCTTCCGGGGCGTTTACGTTTCTGAGAGGATCCATGCTCCTGTGGCTCATCCAGCTCCACGGGGAGTTGAGTCCGACTTGATCCACTTCGGGCTCTCTTCTTGGGTTGATGACCGATCTTTATCTGGCCTTTTTTCTGAAGACCGACGGCCAATATTGATGGAGACGGTGTTGCGGTGCTATTTTCATCTGGCTCCTCCGCTTCATCTAGCATCGTATCATTGCCAGCATCGAAGCTGTCAGCGAAGTCATCCCGTATATGCTCGAAACTGTTTGCATTTTCATCCGCGTTGGATTGGCTGTTCGCATCGCTGTCCGAAAATGAAGCTGCTACTTCCTGTGTCTTCTTGTTTGCCTTAATGCGGGCGCTGCTCAAATGATTCAGGGGAGGCGCATTTATAGAACGGTGAGTCAGAGGAGAAACATCTTGTCGCAACTCCCCTTTCGTATGACCCAATCCTTTACCATCGGAAGGACTAGAGGAGAGGGGTTCCCGTTGTGGGCTTTGGGATGATCGTAAACCGGGGGTTCTCCGAGGGGACCCAGTCAAGCCAGTCTTCATAGGAGAACGTGCAACAGGTGGTGGGAAATAAGAGTTTCGCCCACCATTCATACCACTAAGGAAATCAGCAGGACCAGGTGCGTTCCCTAGTCACCCGCGTTTAGAAATTAATATCATAACCCCTACATTAAAGACCGATTGTACGTACCCTCGTCCATAGACATGCCATCGGAGCCTACCGAAGATTCATTCCCATCGCTAAAGCCATTTTCTCTTACGGGAGATTTCTCTGGCGATGACCACATCCCATCAATGTCCTCCATTCCATGTTCATCGCGCTTGCCCTCCTTCACTGTAATCCCTGTACGACTGTATCCATTGTCTTCGTTAGTCCTCTTTACAGCAGTAAGAGAACATCGAAGTGGGATGTTCAGCGGAGAATGCTCACCGTCCAAGTTTACCGACATTGGAATAATCATAATCGCGAGCTTTCGCGGACCCCCGAGGAGCCATCCTTGTGGAGTTCCGGAAGTGAAATGCGGGAAGGTAGCTAGCTGTATGGGAAAAGTTACGAGTAGGACACACGCGCACACACGCGCACACTGTATCCTAAACTGCTTTAGCTGAAAACACCTTTGTATCACGCACTCTTTTAATGAAAAAAAAAA